AGGCCGTGCCCCGAGACATGAAGTCATATCATGATTATATTGCCACCTCCATGCCGGGATTGAGATCTCATCCCAAAATGCCAGACTGGGTCGGTGTTGGCCACAGCAGCACTGCAGAGGAAGCTGCTTTGCTGAAAGGCAACGTGGGCCTCGCTCAAAACACCTTTAAGTGGACACATGTTGCAAACAAAACAGGTTTATCCCAATAAAGTTGGCTTAAAACACCTTGGCCTGATTTTGCTCTGTATCTGCTGGAATTAGTGATGGCAAAAACTGGCGCCAACACAGGTATAAGCACCAAAACCAACCCGAGCTGGCAGCCAAAAGACAGAGATGAGTGAGACCAACTCTGCTCCTTCTTTACATTTAAGGATGAGAAGAAGCCTGTGCCACCCCTTTGGAGCCCACACACGAAGCCTGGGGTGGGGACACACAAAGGTGCCACCAGTTCAGCTGAAAAAGCGCAACCACCCAAAACACTGCCAGTAGCCAGAATGATTTTGGTTTCCTTCAAAATTCATAAAAGATGCAAAAAAAGCAGAGGTGGTGCCAGCCTGGCCATGACCTAGGACCCTTCCTTTACAGGTCTCATTTTTCACACTGAGGTTCACCCAAATATCTGGGAATTTGACCCAGTGGAATACAGGAGGAGGGTAAGGCATCATGCTCCACCTCCTGGTTTACTTTTCTGGCATCCAGGAGCTTCGGCTGCTGCTCAGCATCAGTAGGACATAGTTTAGTTGAGAACATGAGAACTCTTTGATGTGTGCCCAAAACCTTTTTCAAAAGCCAAAAGGAAAATGCTCATCAACAGTTGTCAGCTCAAAGTAATGATTTAGAAATGCAGTGTGACCTTTGGAGCTCAGAACCTGCAAGAGGGGCAAAATGCCCAGCTGAGCCAACAGCACCACTGCTGATTAGTAAATACAGTGAACTCAGCCCCAGGATCTGACTGTGCCCTGTCAGGCACAGCACCACACAACCAGACCAAGGTGTCCCCTGAAAAGTGGGAATGGGACATGGAAAACAGAAGGTGATACTCAGAAACCAGCCTGAGGACAAGGCTGGGGAGAGGCAGTGAGCTCCAGGTGCTCCCAAAGAGCAGGATGGCAGCACCTGTATGACACCATGGAGCACCAAAGCAAACTTGAATATAGAATCACAGACTTATTTAGGTTGGAAAAGCCCATCATGATCAAGCCCAATCATTCCCCCAGCACTGCCAAGGCCACCACTAAACCATGTTCCCCAGTGCCACATCTTACACGGCTTTTAAATCCCTCCAGGGATGGTGACTCCACCACTGCCCTGGGCAGCTGTGCCAGGGCTGGACAACCCTTTTGGTGAAGGAATTTTCCCTAATACCTAATCCTAATCTGTCCCTGCACAACTTGAGGCTGTTTCTCCTTGTCAGGTCACTTGTTCCCTGGGAGTAGAACCTGATCCCCACCTGGCTCCACTCTGCTGCCAGGGAGTTGCAGAGAGCAACAAAGTCCCCCTGAGCCTCCTTTCCTCCAGGCTGAGCCCCCCCAGCTCCCTCAGCAGCTCCTCGTCAGACTTGGGCTCCAGACCCTTTCCTAGCTATGTTGCCCCAGTACTTAGCTCTGGGGACACCACTGGTGACCAGACACCAACTGGATATGTCTCCATTCACCACTATTCTCTGGGCCCAGACAGATTTTTACCCAGGGAACACAAATCCATCCAAGCCACAAGCAGCCAGTTTCTCCAGAAGAATGCTCTGGAAAATGCTGCCAAAGTCTTTGCTAAAGTCCATACAGAAAACATCCACAGCCTTCCCCTCATCCACATGTGTCACCTTGTCGTGGGAGACCTGGCTGGTCAAACAGGATATGCCATTCATGAACTCATGGTGGTTGGGCCTGATCACTCCGTTGTCCTGAACAGGTCTGCTCTAATTATGGTGGGATTTGAGAGCTTTCCAGAAACCTGAAAGTATTTGCAGAAAGTTGTATTCAGGAGGAACAAAACACCAAACCAAGGGGACTCACTTTTGCAGGTACGTAACTGCAGGGAGAGCGATGGCAGGCGAAGATGGGAAGAGTTGGAAAGGAAGGGGAAACTTTTCCTGGAGAACATAGGACACCAAAAATGCCAGACTGGTAGAGCACAAGCAGCCCTTGAGTTGGGAATGCAGCACTTTCCCCCTCCAGAGAGGAAAGGGAGGCTGGAGGGCGGCTTCAGAGCTGCCTTCAGCAAGCACAGCCAGCAGGATCTACAGTGTCCTCTTGCAAGGGGCACAGCTGGAAAGAAGATGCATTCTCACAACACACATCTGGACACCTCACAGAGGGCCAAGGGTAACAAGCCAAGGGATGCCCATCCCGAGTACCCTTTCCACGCTCAGCATTGCCATTTTTTCTTGGGAGAAGAACCCAAACCCACCCCACACATGCCAACAACAGCAGGGTTCTGCAGCAGCCTCTCTGTAGGCAGAGCTCACCTTCAGGAGACCCTCCTGCAGCAGGCAGGACCACAGGCAGCATCACACCTTCACAGAATATCACCTGTTCCACTGCTCCCCACCACCAAACCACAGCAGAGACACCACCCACCCAAAATGTCAGTGTCTCCATCCTCCTGACAAGCCTCAGAGGTGGAGGTCTGTCATCATCACCTCCACGCTGTTACAGAGATGACCTAAGCCCCCTCCTGCTCTTGCTGCCCTGCTAGGAGAGAGGGATGTGGAGATGTCTGGTAGCTTTTGGAGTATTTACCTCAAACTTTGAGCCACCTCTGTCAACCAAATGCAGGCAGGGCAGCAGCAAACCACAGCTCTGAGTGCAGGGCTGTGTCAGAAAGCACATACAGTCAAAAAATGAAATTGCAGAGCTGCAAGGAAGAATGAGGAGATGGTTTTAACTACTCAGGCTCTTTCCCTCCTGCCTGGTCCCACTGGAATGGGGACCTGGGCGTCACACAAGAGTGAAAGGCTCGTCTGGGGTGACTTTCAGCAGCAAGTGTGGCTGAACAAGGGTACAACTAAATTAGCCAAGTGCCCTACCCAAGCATTAAGCCATGTTTTAAATAACATTGACATCTGTGAGGTCTCAGTCTGTTGGGAAGCATGTGGAGGCAGGGAGGGAAAAGGTGGCAGGGCCTTCTGGCCAGCCAGAGTCCCCACCAGGACACAGCAGAGTCTGGCTGTGTCAACCCCAGGCAGCTCTGCTGTGCCTCCTGCCACTCTGCCCCTTGCAGCAGCCCCTTAATTTGCTCATTAGCAAAGCTGGGAACAAGAGAGAGGAATTGAATAGTGTCCCTTTCCCTGGACACACTCTGTGTCCTTGTGGGAGTTTGGGACTGGGGCCAGCATGGACAACGACTAGAATGTCTGAGAAATGACACGTTCTGGGTGGGCCACTAAGGAACTCCAGAGCACCCATCACCAGCATCCACGCTGGGACAGATCTGCTGTCCATAATGTCCTCATGAGGGGCCTGGGGAAATTATGGAACACCAGCTGGGGACATGCAGATGATGCCCCCCTCACCCGCTGCACCCACACGGGCTCTGCTGGGGCAGCGCCCCAGCAACACCCACAGGACCATGGGATGCTCACCTGACTCCTGAGACCCTTCACCTCCACTGGCCAAGGCCTCCAGCTCCAGACCAGAGGACTGACAGACAGGCACACAGGCATCACAACCCACCCAGCAGCCACCAAAACAGACCGTCCACATGCACAAATGTCCAGAAGTTACGTAGGGACCATCCAGCTCAGGCCAATGGTGCCTGGGGGAAACCACCCAAAAGCAACAGCTTCCAGAGGATTCCCATCATCAGTGCCAACCCAACCTCCTGTGCCATCCTGGCACTCTCCAGGTGCGCACAGCTCCTGCCTGGTGGCTTTCCAAGCAGTGTCCCCCCAAGCTTGGGAGCCAGCACAGCTGAATGGAAAATCACATTTGTAAGCAGCCAAGGGAGAGCGACCCGAGAGAAAAGGAGCGCTGTCTCAGAAGGGCTGGTTTACATTTCTAAAGAAAATGCCAGCGCCTCGGAGAGCCACAGGGTTCTGGCTACGGGTGGAGCAGGGAGGCTTTGAAAATGACCTCGGGCATTTAGGATGTTGGCACTCTAGGGAGCCCAGCCTAGGGCCTGGTTTGCAGATACAGAACAGCGGCTCTGGAGAGCTCCTGCAAGCTGGGAATTGGGCAGTAAAAGCTGTTATTTCCACATCCCATGGGAAAGACAAGCTTCGGAGTAATAAACTTTTGCTTTGCTCTGCCAAGTAATTTCTAGGTGATGCCCCTAAAACACTCTGTGTAACCCCAATGGGAGGCACAAAAAAGAGCAACTGGGGAAACTGGCAGCACCTGGGTGATGATACCCTCGAGACCCTTCAGGGCTGCAGGGATTTCGGGGGCCACAGGGAGACACTGTCTGGGGGTCCCTCGCTGCAGGATAACCAGAGCAGCACATATGGGAGGGTACCCAGCCCCGTGACCACACATCAGCCCCTCAGCTGTGGGAATGGATGGGGTTTCTCCAAGGGAAACCCTTGGATGAAGGCACCTCATAAAACTGGAGATAACTTGGGAAGTTTCCTACAGAGGCCATGAGTTTCTTCAAGCTTCCCAAGGATGGTTCTGCAAAGGGCAGGGCAGGCAGCTTTTCTGTCCCTCTTGCACCTCTGAGCACCCTCCATGGCAAGCAGGACAGGATTGGGATTTCCTCTTTTCTGGCTCCCACCTCCCTCGTGCAGGGCTGCAAGTAAGTGGGTGCCAATAAAACACATACACACTTCTTGAACAGGACAGGTCTTGGCTCTTCCCACCTCCTGGAATGATTTTTACCTCTTCCTCAACAGCTTGACAGCTCCAAAAGTTCATTGCCAAAGGCTCCCCATCCATTAGTGTTCACCCTCAGGGACCAGACCCAAAAGAAGAGGATCCATCTACGTCACTGCTCCAACTCCTCCTTGATTCCAGAGGTGGAGAGTGCTGGGAGAAGAGGGATGGGGTCTGGGCCAACTGCCTTACCTTGGGGAGAAGAGCTGGGGGTGCCAATGCCAGCAGCTCTGGCGGGGTCATGCTCCTGCCAGCCAGGACCACGGCACCGCACTCGGCACAAGCGCCGATGGTCAGCTGCTTCCCGTCATCCACTAGCAGGCTGTTGGCCACACGGAGGGTGTAGAGGAAGACGGGAAGTCTGGCCACTTGAACCGCTTTTAATCCAAGGCATCTCTTCTTCTCCTGCCGGCAGAAGAAGCAGACGAAGGTCTCCACTTTGTACTGCCGGGACCAGGCGCTGCTGGGGTGGTGGGAGTTCCTGCCCTCGTGCTGCAGCCACTGTCCCAGCAGGTCGTGGTAGCACAGGACGCAGGTGGACACCAGCCCGGTCGAGTCGGCTGGTCTGGCCCGTGGAGCAGGTGGGTAGACCGTCAAGAAGGGGAAAAAGGGTTCCTTCTCCCCAAATCGTCCCGGAGGGTTGACGTTGAGCTGGAACTCTTTGCCAGCTCCCAACTCAGCCCCGCAGATGTAGCAGATGGAGGTGGGACCAGGCTTGATGACAGCGGGGTGGCCGGTCAGGTCGCCAGCAGAGAAGACCTGGTGGTACCTTCCCAGAAAGCTCTGCACCGAGGAGATGAGCTCCTCATTGTGACAGGCCCTGTACATGGCCCACAGGTCCTGCAGCACCCCGAAACACTTGCGGCAGCTGCTGACCTCCCAGTGCTTGTTCAGCCCCTTGGCACCGGGCGGGCAGGGCAGGAGGCTGAGGAAGGGGAAATGCATGGTGCTCTTGGCATTGCCGTTGGTGATTTTGGCCGCCACCGGTCTTGCCTCCTTGCCGCACTCCTCCCCGCAGAGGTAGCAAGCCTCAGGCACCGGTGGGATGCCCGTCCCGTCCTCCTTCATTCCTCGCTGGCCCTTGGCGGGCATGGCCCCGGCGCTGAGGGGCACCACGTAGAGCCGCTGCAGCACGGGCACGTTGGCCAGCTCGAAGCTTTGCCACTGCTGCATGAGGGAGGCAAAGCAGCAGGGACACACCAGGGTGCTGCCGGTGGGAGAGAGGGGCTGGGCACCCGGCGGGGGGTTGTGCAGCCAGAGGAAGGGGAAGAAGGGTCCCGGCGAGGTCTTCTCCTGCTTCTGCACGTGGACGCGGTGCTGGGCGCCGGGTGCCAAGGGGCTACCGCAGATGTAGCAGGCAGTGCCCGGTGCCCAAGCGGGCCGCTCACTGCCTTCCTCCTCCTCCTCCTCCTCGCTGGTGATGTTGATCTCGCTGTCCGAGGAGCAGCAGGGGGGTCCCCGCTCGCCCCCAGCCGCCGCCGGGGGGGCTCGCGCCGCGCCGCCCGCCCCCTCGGGCTCCGAGAGGGGCTCGGCGTCGGACAGCTCGGAGAGCTCGGAGCCGGCTGCCGGCCCTTCCTCCTCCTCCTCCTCCTCTTCCTCCTCCTCCTCCTGGTGGCCGGCGGCGCGGCGCGGCGGCGCGGCGGGGTCCCAGCCCGTGGCCCCCCGCCGCAGCCCGGCTCCCCCCGCCGCCGCCGCCGCCGCCTCGCACTGATGGGGCCGCTTGAGCCAGTACATGCGCTTCTCCACCGGCGTGCGGCTGCGCTCGAAGGAGTCCCACTGCTCGCCCAGGAAGCAGCGGCAGACAGCGCAGACCAGGGCGCAGCCCTCCGCCGAGACGGCGCGGGCGCCGGGCGCCGGCTCCTGGTGCTGCAGGAAGGGGAAGAAGGGCCGGTGGTCGCGGGGGGGTCGCACTTGAAGCTTGAGCTCTTTGCCGCGGCTGATGCCGCCGCCGCAGATGAAGCAGCAGAGCGGGGGCGCCGGGGGTTGCGGAGCCCCGGGGCCGCCCCCACCCGCCGC